TGACTCATACCCCATTCAATCCTCCCCACCCTTTTTACATTGCATTGAAACACTCTCTCTCTCTATAAAACTCTTACCATTTCATTAAGAGGGAGATGGTGATTAAGTTTTTATTTTATTTTATTATTTTCATAATTAATAGATACAAATAAACCCGAAACAAGACATATAGTCGAGAACAAAATATTATTTGATATATTTTTGCATAATAAGAAGAATTTATACTTAGTATGTACAAGTTTAGGACTCGCTCCTTATTCTACCACTAAGCCAATTGTGTGGGGTGGGTTGATTAGACTTTTGAAGGACCAAAAGAGAGCCAGTATTATTGCCGACATCTTGGAACTCCTATATTGCTTTTCTTAAATAGTGATTAAAGTAACAGGATTAGATTCTAATTGTAGGCCCCACATGATTAGTCTCCTCAGTTAACTAGGATTAGTGGGGTAGTGTTCATGCATGTTTCTTCTTTGTTTAAAAAAAAATTGATATTCTTCTTTTCCATTGCTGATAGAAAAATGATATTAGAATCTAATTTATTGATTTAATGCATCACAATTAACCAATTATTGAATCACTAGCGAGTCTTAATTAATGGAAAAGTCTACAGTACTGAAAAAAAAAATTCCCTTTGATATTTGTGTATTATTTGAAATTTGAAATTTCATAATAATAATAATAATATTATTATTATTAAATAGTAACATGCTCAACAAAAAAATAAAAATATCAAACAGTAATACGCTTAACAAAAAAATAGTAACATCAAACAGCAACACGATCAACAAAAAAAATAGTAACATCAAAGATTAAATTTTTAATTAAGTTTTTATTGAGTATGTTACTATTTGATATTACTATTTTTTTGTTGAATGTTACTGTTTCATATATATATGTGTGTGTGTGTGTGTGTGAAATTTTAAAATTCAAATGATACACAAATATTAAAAGAAATTTTAAAAGTATCACATTTTAATATTTAGATATTGAAAATATAAAATCTGTCAATTATGTATGCACTATTTATGGTAGGGGTAATTATAGAATATATTTTATAAAAAATTTAAATATATTTTAAAATGTGTACTTATTAACAAGTATTTAATGAAAAATAAGACTTAAAGGAGGATAATTTTGGAGGTAGTATGTAAAGTCAAATAAGTTTTGAAAAAAATACTCACATTCTATTATCTCTTGATATTATACTACTCTCTCCGTTCCTAAATATCTGTCGTTTTACCCAAATTTTTTTGTTTCACAATATCTGTCGTTTTATGAAACCAAAACATAATTAATATTTTTTCTTCCAAATTTACCATTATCTCGGTTTTCTAATAAATGTTTAATAAATTAAGTGTAGGCTAAGTGTCTTTCATATTATTTTCCTTCCCAATACGTATTGAATAAAAATATTTTAGTCTTGTGCAATTATTTTTTATTCATATTAGAGCTATTTAATAGCTTCCTTAATTCCTATATAAAAATTTTAAACGACATATATTTAAGAATAGAGAGAGTACCAAAGACCTATCTAATGGGCTTTCTTGTGGGCTACAATCAGGCCCAAACCACAAACTAAGGATCCACTCTATGGTTTTTTGGGTTGTCCACGGCCCATAAAACTTGAAAGAAGTTTGCAATCGAAGAGAAACACCATTTTTTTTTTAGACAAAGACATGCACATATACACACACATTAGTCGACACACCAAAGCCACGGAGAAACACCATGGAGTTTTTGTTTTTTGTTTTTTTTTTGGTGCAAAGGTCCAACAAGAAGTGATGAAACTTTGAGGGTAACTNTGACATTGGCCAAGAGAAAGGAGGAGAGAGAGAGAGAGGGAGATTGGAATTGGAACAGGGAGAGTTCCAAGAGATTGAATGGCATTGAAGGCATGAAGTTAGGTCTTTTTGAAGGCTTAATAATGGCAGTGGTCAGGCATGGATATTTGATATATGTAAACATGGAGGCCATCATGTTCCCTCTGCTCCAAACTCTCTGTCCTCTCTNTTACATTGGCCAAGAGAAAGGAGGAGAGAGAGAGAGAGAGGGAGATTGGAATTGGAACAGGGAGAGTTCCAAGAGATTGAATGGCATTGAAGGCATGAAGTTAGGTCTTTTTGAAGGCTTAATAATGGCAGTGGTCAGGCATGGATATTTGATATATGTAAACATGGAGGCCATCATGTTCCCTCTGCTCCAAACTCTCTGTCCTCTCTAAAGTTTCCTTTGTTTATTCTCCAACTTTCCACACCCCTGACTCATACCCCATTCAATCCTCCCCACCCTTTTTACATTGCATTGAAACACTCTCTCTCTCTATAAAACTCTTACCATTTCATTAAGAGGGAGATGGTGATTAAGTTTTTATTTTATTTTATTATTTTCATAATTAATAGATACAAATAAACCCGAAACAAGACATATAGTCGAGAACAAAATATTATTTGATATATTTTTGCATAATAAGAAGAATTTANAAGTTTCCTTTGTTTATTTTCCAACTTTCCACACCCCTGACTCATACCCCATTCAATCCTCCCCACCCTTTTTACATTGCATTGAAACACTCTCTCTCTATATAAAACTCTTACCATTTCATTAAGAGGGAGATGGTGATTAAGTTTTTTATTTTATTTTATTATTTTCATAATTAATAGATACAAATAAACCCGAAACAAGATATATAGTCGAGAACAAAATATTATTTGATATATTTTTGCATAATAAGAAGAATTTATACTTAGTATGTACAAGTTTAGGACTCGCTCCTTATTCTACCACTAAGCCAATTGTGTGGGGTGGGTTGATTAGACTTTTGAAGGACCAAAAGAGAGCCAGTATTATTGCCGACATCTTGGAACTCCTATATTGCTTTTCTTAAATAGTGATTAAAGTAACAGGATTAGATTCTAATTGTAGGCCCCACATGATTAGTCTCCTCAGTTAACTAGGATTAGTGGGGTAGTGTTCATGCATGTTTCTTCTTTGTTTAAAAAAAAATTGATATTCTTCTTTTCCATTGCTGATAGAAAAATGATATTAGAATCTAATTTATTGATTTAATGCATCACAATTAACCAATTATTGAATCACTAGCTAGTCTTAATTAATGGAAAAGTCTACAGTACTGAAAAAAAAAATTCCCTTTGATATTTGTGTATTATTTGAAATTTGAAATTTCATAATAATAATAATATTAAATAGTAACATGTTCAACAAAAAAATAAAAATATCAAACAGTAACACATTCAACAAAAAAATATTAACATCAAACAATAACATTTACATATATATATATATATACACACACACATAATAATAATAATAATAATAATAATAATAATAATAATAATAATAATAATAATAATAAACAGTAACACGCTTAACAAAAAAATAGTAACATCAAACAGCAACACGATCAACAAAAAAAATAGTAACATCAAAGATTAAATTTTTAATTAAGTTTTTATTGAGTATGTTACTATTTGATATTACTATTTTTTTGTTGAATGTTACTGTTTCATATATATATGTGTGTGTGTGTGTGTGTGAAATTTTAAAATTTAATTGATACACAAATATTAAAAAAATTTTAAAAGTATCACATTTTAATATTTAGATATTGGAAATATAAAATCTGTCAATTATGTATACACTATTTATGGTAGGGGTAATTATAGAATATATTTTATAAAAAATTTTAAAATATTTTAAAATGTGTACTTATTAACAAGTATTTGATGAAAAATAAGACTTAAAGGAGGATAATTTTGGAGGTAGTATGTAAAGTCAAATAAGTTTTGAAAAAAATACTCACATTCTATTATCTCTTGATATTATACTACTCCCTCCGTTCCTAAATATCTGTCGTTTTACCCAAATTTTTTTGTTTTACAATATCTGTCGTTTTATGAAACCAAAACATAATTAATATTTTTTCTTCCAAATTTACCATTATCTCGGTTTTCTAATAAGTGTTTAATAAATTAAGTGTAGGCTAAGTGTCTTTCATATTATTTTCCTTCCCAATACGTATTGAATAAAAATATTTTAGTCTTGTGCAATTATTTTTTATTCATATTAGAGCTATTTAATAGCTTCCTTAATTCCTATATAAAAATTTTAAACGACATATATTTAAGAATAGAGAGAGTACCAAAGACCTATCTAATGGGCTTTCTTGTGGGCTACAATCAGGCCCAAACCACAAACTAAGGATCCACTCTATGGTTTTTTGGGTTGTCCACGGCCCATAAAACTTGAAAGAAGTTTGCAATCGAAGAGAAACACCATTTTTTTTTTAGACAAAGACATGCACATATACACACACATTAGTCGACACACCAAAGCCACGGAGAAACACCATGGAGTTTTTGTTTTTTGTTTTTTTTTTGGTGCAAAGGTCCAACAAGAAGTGATGAAACTTTGAGGGTAACTTAAATGGTAAAAAAAAATATTAATGTAATTTTTTTAGGGGAAAAAGTAAGTATCGGTGTAATTTATGTAAGAATTAAAATTTTATTTTAAAATTATCAAAATAATTAAAATATTTTTATTTTTAAGAAGATTGAAACGAATTAGTAGTGGAATCGAAATTTTAAATATTTTGAATTATTTTGAGACGTTTCAACATGATCTTTATTAATTTTTCAAAATATTTTGACGTGTTTTAGTTTATTCTTAATTATATTTCAAAATATTAATTAAAATAAAATATAATAAAATATTTTGACGTGTTTTTAAAATATTTTATTTTATTTCAACTAATATATATTTTATTTTATTTCAACTAATATCTTGGAATATAATTAAGAATAAACTTCTACGTAAAAATTGAAATTTACAGTCTACACTGAAACAAAAAGGGTTTGTAGCCAAATTCATTTCCCTCTCGTTGGGCCTTCGTTCGCCGTCAGAGGATCCTCCTGCTGAACTTCACCGTCGTCGTCATCTTAGAGAGAGAGGGTTGATTGATCGATCATTTATCATCATCGACCATGTCGTTCTCGTTTTTCAAGCCCTCGAGGCCCAAAACTCCGCAAGAGCTCGTGAAGGCGATCAAAGATAGCCTCATAGCTCTCGACACCAAGACCGTTGCCGAAGTTAAAGCTCTCGAAAAGGTCTCTCTCTCTCTCTCTGGCCCTCACGCATGCTCACTTAGGTGAATTGATGTTTAATTTGGACAGTGTAGTTGGTTTTCTCTGTATTTCTCTCAAATTGGAGGTAACATAATGATAATTCTTGTAAATTAGTTTAATGAGAATGTGATTTGGCTGTTAATCGGATTTGTTAGAGACGGAGAATTCGAGTGTTGGAACTTGGAGGTATCCAACCCAGAGTACTTTGGCAATGAGTGAAGAACCTTTCACTGTTCATTCATATAAATCAAACCTTTCATGCCCTAACTTTCAACGTGGGATCACACCTCCTTCAAACCTTTGGTGGCCGAGATATTTTATGTGATTGAGAATCCTATAAACCCAGTGCCAATTGATTTGGGGTTGCATACCCTTGGTTGGTAATTGGGCCAAGTCCCTTACCCATTCTGGATCTGTGGGCGGACTCTTTCGGCCATGTACAAGTCCAATTTGCACACAAGGGAAGGTATGAAAAAGAGCTTAAACCCGCATCAAAGTTTAGGGCCATCTTTAGGTTTGTGTATATAGTTGAGGGGCCTCTTCACCTGTTGCCAATTGATTTTGTGTTAGATGTGATCGTTATGAATTATCTGCATTATCCATTTTTCTTTAGCTTTTTATTTTGTTTTGATGTGATAAGTGTGGTCCAAATGTAACGAGTCTTTGAATTGAGCTCGGATCAAACTTAACAATTTTTGGAACTTTTTATGGTTTTATGTGATGATTGTTATCTATCACGTCCATAAAAAGTTTGACGACTACCTCATTTGCTCGATTGCATGAAAATTACATGATTGATTTAGTTTTTACACCAAAACACACCACGATGTGCAGGTTAGTGTTATGTATTCATATTCTTTTTATTTTTTCTTTTTTGGCTCAGGCGTTGGAAGAAGTTGAGAAGAATCTTGTGACCATGAAACTCATGCTTTCAGGAGATGGCGAGGCTGAACCAAATGTGGATCAGATTTCACAGCTGACACTTGAAATCTGTAAAGAGGATGTGATTGCTCTTTTCATTCACAAGTTGCCTATACTGGGTTGGGAGGTGAGTTATCATAATTCATTTTACAATGTCATGCATTTACCTTGCGTGCTTAACACATGGATTCGATATCTTTACGCAGGCTAGAAAAAATTTAGTCCACTGCTGGTCTATAATGTTGAGACAAATGGTTGGCTCTTCATGTTGCTGTGTGCAATATATGGAGAACCATTTGGAGTTGCTAGACTTTCTTGTAGTGTGGTAAGAACCTTTATGTCTTTTCTCTTTGTCATGCTAGCTGAGGGTGCAATGTGTTTTGTATTGTAACACCCCCTGCCGATGGGCGGGCAGGCGGGCGTGCAGGGGCGGAGCCTGGATGGTTATGCAATGGGGGCAATTTAAAACTTGTTAAGTGCTCTAGTTAGACTTTAATTCAATACTTTATCCTTGACTTTTTAACAAGTAACTTATATAGAGCTTAAAAAACCAAAATCAACAAAACCAAGTAACATAAATAATTTAGAACCGAGTTGAGATTAAGGAACAATTTAATTAATCACTAGCAAATTATTCAAACCAGTCAATGGAACATTTTAATCCAAGGACTAACTTATAATAGGCAAATTTTCAATTGCTTAATTCAAAATGTAATCCAAATTGAAATTTCAAGTAACCAATAAAACTGAATAATTATATGGTTGGAAAAAAAGTGACTAGTAAGCCAAGTTTAAGAGATGACTAATTCTGAATGACAACTATAACNCTGAATAATTATATGGTTGGAAAAAAAGTGACTAGTAAGCCAAGTTTAAGAGATGACTAATTCTGAATGACAACTATAACCTCATAGATTTTATAACAAATAAAATAATTATGGCTCTATCTCATTAAACCAATTTTGTAGCATCAAACTCTATATTGTCCTCCACACCCTTAAAGAAATTTTCATTGATGTGAGTTGCAACGTTGCAATGATTCTACTACATAGACTCAAGTTAATAGGGTATNCAAAAAGGGTTTGTAGCCAAATTCATTTCCCTCTCGTTGGGCCTTCGTTCGCCGTCGGAGGATCCTCCTGCTGAACTTCACCGTCGTCGTCATCTTAGAGAGAGAGGGTTGATTGATCGATCATTTATCATCATCGACCATGTCGTTCTCGTTTTTCAAGCCCTCGAGGCCCAAAACTCCGCAAGAGCTCGTGAAGGCGATCAAAGATAGCCTCATAGCTCTCGACACCAAGACCGTTGCCGAAGTTAAAGCTCTCGAAAAGGTCTCTCTCTCTCTCTCTGGCCCTCACGCATGCTCACTTAGGTGAATTGATGTTTAATTTGGACAGTGTAGTTGGTTTTCTCTGTATTTCTCTCAAATTGGAGGTAACATAATGATAATTCTTGTAAATTAGTTTAATGAGAATGTGATTTGGCTGTTAATCGGATTTGTTAGAGACGGAGAATTCGAGTGTTGGAACTTGGAGGTATCCAACCCAGAGTACTTTGGCAATGAGTGAAGAACCTTTCACTGTTCATTCATATAAATCAAACCTTTCATGCCCTAACTTTCAACGTGGGATCACACCTCCTTCAAACCTTCGGTGGCCGAGATATTTTATGTGATTGAGAATCCTATAAACCCAGTGCCAATTGATTTGGGGTTGCATACCCTTGGTTGGTAATTGGGCCAAGTCCCTTACCCATTCTGGATCTGTGGGCGGACTCTTTCGGCCATGTACAAGTCCAATTTGCACACAAGGGAAGGTATGAAAAAGAGCTTAAACCCGCATCAAAGTTTAGGGCCATCTTTAGGTTTGTGTATATAGTTGAGGGGCCTCTTCACCTGTTGCCAATTGATTTTGTGTTAGATGTGATCGTTATGAATTATCTGCATTATCCATTTTTCTTTAGCTTTTTATTTTGTTTTGATGTGATAAGTGTGGTCCAAATGTAACGAGTCTTTGAATTGAGCTCGGATCAAACTTAACAATTTTTGGAACTTTTTATGGTTTTATGTGATGATTGTTATCTATCACGTCCATAAAAAGTTTGACGACTACCTCATTTGCTCGATTGCATGAAAATTACATGATTGATTTAGTTTTTACACGAAAACACACCACGATGTGCAGGTTAGTGTTATGTATTCATATTCTTTTTATTTTTTCTTTTTTGGCGCAGGCGTTGGAAGAAGTTGAGAAGAATCTTGTGACCATGAAACTCATGCTTTCAGGAGATGGCGAGGCTGAACCAAATGTGGATCAGATTTCACAGCTGACACTTGAAATCTGTAAAGAGGATGTGATTGCTCTTTTCATTCACAAGTTGCCTATACTGGGTTGGGAGGTGAGTTATCATAATTCATTTTACAATGTCATACATTTACCTTGCGTGCTTAACACATGGATTCGATATCTTTACGCAGGCTAGAAAAAATTTAGTCCACTGCTGGTCTATAATGTTGAGACAAATGGTTGGCTCTTCATGTTGCTGTGTGCAATACATGGAGAACCATTTGGAGTTGCTAGACTTTCTTGTAGTGTGGTAAGAACCTTTATGTCTTTTCTCTTTGTCATGCTAGCTGAGGGTGCAATGTGTTTTGTATTGTAACACCCCCTGCCGATGGGCGGGCAGGCGGGCGTGCAGGGGCGGAGCCTGGATGGTTATGCAATGGGGGCAATTTAAAACTTGTTAAGTGCTCTAGTTAGACTTTAATTCAATACTTTATCCTTGACTTTTTAACAAGTAACTTATATAGAGCTTAAAAAACCAAAATCAACAAAACCAAGTAACATAAATAATTTAGAACCGAGTTGAGATTAAGGAACAATTTAATTAATCACTAGCAAATTATTCAAACCAGTCAATGGAACATTTTAATCCAAGGACTAACTTATAATAGGCAAATTTTCAATTGCTTAATTCAAAATGTAATCCAAATTGAAATTTCAAGTAACCAATAAAACTGAATAATTATATGGTTGGAAAAAAAGTGACTAGTAAGCCAAGTTTAAGAGATGACTAATTCTGAATGACAACTATAACCTCATAGATTTTATAACAAATAAAATAATTATGGCTCTATCTCATTAAACCAATTTTGTAGCATCAAACTCTATATTGTCCTCCACACCCTTAAAGAAATTTTCATTGATGTGAGTTGCAACGTTGCAATGATTCTACTACATAGACTCAAGTTAATAGGGTATCATGAAGTTAGCTTAAAAAGGAGCACCGATACTTACAAAAAAAAAAATAACACATTGACCAACCATTTCTCTTTAATTTGCAATAGTTCTAATAAAATATTTAAAAATTACAACCTTTTTAATCTTGGCCTGGGTAATCCATTATTTCCTTAGGACTCACACACAATTATTGTTTTTATAATGGTTTTTTCCTGTGACATTTTAACAAACACATAATAGACAACAATGATTTGATAGAAAAATCACTATATTTTGTCATGAATCCTAGAAAATAAAAAGTTCCAACATATGAAAAATCTCTAAAAATCTTTAGAACCCTTTAATGGGTTATTGGTTTGCTTGTAGACAACTCTCACAGAATCTTGTAGGGTTCTCATCACGGATTTGTAACTAGTGGAAATTTTTTTTATGGTTAATGGATTATCTCTCCATTGCTTCAACATTATCTTCTAAGATTTTTTCATAGGCTGATTTGCATAACTTGGAACTAGAATAATCGATCGCATAATCAGTAATGGACTAGATTTGTAACCGGTGGGATTATTTTAGGAAGATTGGGACGGTGTGTGCCTGACTGAAGAGTACTTTATGACCAGCGTTTTTGCGATGTGAAGAGAGGGATGGGAACCTGATGGGAGCGAACAACTAAATAGGTTGATTTGTTGATGAATATAGCCAAGGAAGGAAATAATAAAGGCTTGTGAAGAAAGGGCAAGAACTGAGAGTCGAAGTTCAATGAAGAATCGAAGACGAAGTGTTTTAAAGTTATGTTTTGATTTTTGAAAATTACACTCACTAACCCTACACGTTATGAAAAATTCAGTGGGGGCAAAATTCTGAAATTTTTGAAATTTTCAAAATTTTACTAGGTCCCAATTTTTTTTTAATTCCAGTGGAGGCAGCTGCCCCCACTGTAGATCCATCCCTGCCCGCGCGTGCATTTTTTTCCTCCTAGAAAAAGCAAAAAATGTGGCCTAAGTGGAGAGAATTGTAAGTGCTTCCTTGAGGAAACAAGAAATAGCGGTTGTCATTTTATGAGTCTCGGGGAATCAGGTTGAATTATATTACTAAGAAATGAACCGGACCACTTACTGCTGTCTTGCATTGCTCTAAGGGAGGATGACATTTGAAGCCAATGATTCCAGAACTTCAGTGAGATCTATTAGTAAAGGCCACTGTACTGGTGAACTTAAGCCCAATATTTTTGAGTATTTTGAGAAAATCATAGCCATAGTCATTTTGAAGCCATCATACTCTAGTTAATGTCAAATATGCCATATTCGTAGCAGTTGGTACGCTTCTTGTATGTTAGTTATTGATATGACTATTACCACTGTGTTACTGCTTGTGCTATATTCATTACATATTTCTTTTATCTGATTATCTTGGTTAATCTTTTCCATAGTTGAACGATTTACATAGGAATACGTGTATAAAGTTAGGCACATCGTAATATTCCTGGACTTCTCTTTTTATGTTAGGAGATCTTGTGATTTTCTAGATTTAATCTCCTATTTTGTTTTAATTGAATGGATTCATTATGCATGGTATTTGTTGTTATGTTTTCAAGCAGTTATGATAACAAGGACATTGCCTTAAATTGTGGAAATATGCTGAGGGAATGCTTCAAAATACCAAGCCTTGTGAAGTAAGAGAATCAAGCTACTCATCTATTTCTTTAGGATTTCTTGAAGGTCCTCAATTTATTGCTTTAATTGATGATACTATTTTTGTTCAAGCTTCCCTTTCAGTTGTAAATATACTATACAATTTTATTGGTGAGTCTAAAGAAATCCATCCGAGAAAAATGCAACAAACTGGCAGCAACGAAGTCCTACTACCATAATGTCTATTTATTATAATCATACCATAGATTTTACATGGTTTGAAAATTACCCGCAGGAAGCCCGCCAAAACTTGCTGACTAGCCACTTTTAAGAAGCATTTTGTGCCAATGTCATTTTTATACATGCAATATTTCCACCCAAACGAATTAAAATGGTTGGTACCTGAGGCATCACTGAGGCATTTGTACAATGACAACCATTCTCCAACTGCTTTAGCATATGAAAAACCTAATGTACAGCAAATTTTTTATTCTCTTGATGAGTGGAAAATTCTGCATGGATTACCATGAAGAAATTTGGTCTCATGGATAATTACTAGTGGACTTGATTAGCTTGATAATTTCGGGTTGGCTAATTGGTGAATTATTAAAGCCCCAATCATTGATGGAAACTATGGACGCCAAAAGGAAACCACACACAGAGCTCAGGGTATTTAGAACAAATGTTTGCAATCCTAGTGTTGGGTTTTTGCCCCATTCTTCCTACCAATGTCAATCCAATTTGTTCTATTTATCCCTAGTCCAAGGCAAGGATTCAAGAATCCCTTTATCAAAATCAAGGAGCTGTTCTTACCTTATTCATTAGAAATAAGGACTGCCAATCTTTGATAATTGTGTCATCATCAATTTGCATTGATTTGTAATCTCTATGTAGAATTCAAAGGGACAAATTGCAATTGCTTCTTTGAAACTTATGCTCATCAAGTGGTGTAATTATGTAACAAGAAAGTTTCGTTTGAAGCACTCTAATTTTGCTTGTGTGTTTTTCAGATATATATTGGAGTCTCCGAGCTTTCTGTTGTTCTTCAAATTTGTGGAGCTGCCTAATTTTGATGTTGCTTCTGATGCGTTTTCTACCTTTAAGGTCAGATTTATGAGTTTGTAATTCCTGTTATTTTTGTTTCTGGTTTTAAAATTTGAAGTTTCTATGCATGCTGCTCGCTAACATATCTTAGGAATGTTGCTCAGGATCTGCTCACCAAACACGCATCTGCGGTGTCTGATTTCTTGACTGCCCATTACAATGAGGTTTGATGCCGCTTTTTATTGAAGCAGTATAATTTCTTCCAACAATCCTTTATTTATTGGGCCATTTCTCAGAAGATTATTCTTACGTTCATCTTTGGTATCCCATGTTATCAACTGTCCGTTTATTCTTCCGGCTTGACTAAATAGTGATTTTGTTCCAGTTCTTTGAGCAATATGAAAAACTCTTGACATCTGCTAACTATGTCACTAGAAGACAATCTTTGAAGGTTAGTTGTTCATGTGATATGTTGGATTCGCTTTCTCTGATTGTTCTTGTGTTAATTGCAAAACGTGGATGAATTTTAGCTTCTTTCGGAATTTCTTTTGGAGCCTCCAAATTCACATATAATGAGGCGGTACATTGTTGAAGTTCGGCACCTGAGAATCATGATGACATTGCTAAAGGTATATTGAATTCTGTTTCCTTTACCTCTGATATTTCCAAAATAATAAAAAAACGTCACCTTTACTTTTCTCTCTTAATCCTTATTTTCTGTTCTTGCTTTCACATTTTTTTGAGCAGGATTCAAGCAAAAACATCCAAATATCTGCTTTCCACATTTTCAAGGTGCTGCTCTTTCTTACTTTTATTACATGCCAGGTTGCTAAATTCTCTCGTTATGAATAGTACTTTCCCCCCTTGATGAGGTAAAGGGATGAAGGGAGTGCTTCTATATTAGTAACATGTGAAGGACATCCCAATTCCCTTTATCCTAAGATCTATGCCAGATTCTGAGGTTCAAGTATTTTGAGATAAATTTTTCCTCAGCCAAGAGCTTGGAACTGACTGGGATCTCAAAGATAGAGGAAAATGGGGTGGCCCATAAGAATTGAAAGTAATTGTATTTTCTCTAGCATTTAAATTTGCTAGTTCCTAAAAGCCTTTGGGGTGCTCTTAAGTTCTGTCATAAGTTTCCTTTTAATCGTATACAGATTCATTCATCAGTTTCACACATTGTCTATTTAATCAAGAAACTACATTTTACAACATAAATAGTTTATGCATGGATCACATTGTAATTTGGAAGAAGAGGGCCATGAATAGTCAAGTTTTACTTCAAATTTACTTATGGTGTTTTACCTTCAGGTTTTCGTGGCCAACCCTAACAAGCCCCGGGAAATAAAAGTCATCTTGGCAAAAAACCATGAAAGATTGCTGGCATTGCTTCACAATCTATCAGTTGGCAAAGGTACATACATTAAACAGTCTGTCCAGGACACCCAGACACTAAAATTTCTGTTGCAATTATTTTTAATTTTTTCGTTTAACAACACAGCATTCCCTTTGCCCCCCACTCCATTGTCCATCTCTTCTAACTTGCAATGTGTGGCAGGGGCTGAAGATGATCAATTTGAAGAGGAGAAGGAACTAATTATCAAGGAAATAGAAAGAGTATCTCGGTTGCCGAACCTTGAAAGTTAGGTGCAGTCCCTTTGTTGTTGCTTTTCCTTTTGTGCTGCTTTAGGCCTGAATGCCACATATATTTATTGCGTAGATAAATGCACCCCTTCCCTCCTTCCAAAGAACCACAATCATTGAAACCAAACGTAATAGTGAAATTATTCGTTGGAGGGCTCGCAATCATCATGCTGCCGAGGATTTCAGGGAAGTTATGCCCCTGTAATTTTGGTGTGATAAATTATTGGCAGGGACCGGAAGGCATACCGGATGTTGCTGGGTGGTTGAAGCCATTTGTGTATAGTCAGCAATTGTAAATTAGACTTCAAATTTTATGTTTTTGTTGGGTTAGTTATAAGTTGTGTGTATCCCCTGTTCTAACCTAGCCCATAACATTGATGTTCTCTCTCTGCCCTGGCCATCCACAGGCAACTGCTTGAGAGAAAGGTAAGACCCTGAGACAAATCGGTTACACCCCAATTACTATTAGGATAAATTGTACCAATGGTCCTTGAGGTTTATCATTAATCATACTTTGGTCCTCAAAGTTTTATTTTCATCAATTTAATTCTCAAAGTTTACACATTCCATCAACATGGTCCTTGGCATTAACTGTCCTCTAAAAAAGAGACAGGAAATGTCACATGTTTGACACATGATAGTAATGACGGGCACTTTTGTTATTGTGCTTTCAAAACACAGGGCAAAAATGGAAAATAAAATAAGCCTTAAAAAGGAAAACAAAAGTCAGTGTTTCACCATAGGCAAAACTCCATTCCCCACCCTTTACTCTCCTGAACCCATGCGGTTGTCAGCGGCCACATATCGGCACCCACATCCAGTGCTCAACTTTCCCCTTATACCCTTCAGCATTGACGACCACCTCTCCGCCTTTACCCATCTTACGCCATTGATATCCATCTAAATCTCTCTCTCTCTCTCAACGGCCCCTGTAACTCCCCACGCGGTTGGTGCCTCCTCTATCAAGCCCTTCACAACCCAAAACCTATTCATCTCCTCGTTAACCTTCACTCTTAATCCAACCCAGGCATCTTGATTAGCTCACGCTAGCCCGTAACACACCATCTACACCTCATTCTCCACTGCGACCTGTGAACTCAAAACCATCAATTTTCATTTACCTAAACAAATTTCAGAAAAACAATATAGGTAATTCAAGAGGGAGACAGACAGACAGATCAACAGAGAATTTTATCAACTATGGAATCAAAATCTTGACCCAATTCTTCATCGATTCAATATTGGAATCGCAAAATTGAATCTAACTAGGAAACAGTTTTGGGCTATTACATGAACTGGAGCTTGATTGTCCATGGAAGCTGTAGCAAATTAGGTATTTTTGTATTGTTTGTGTGTTTCTATGTTCGACTCTTCGAGTGAGTGAAATAGAGAGAAAGAAAGATATTTTTTGTATTTTTGTGTTTGAGTCGGTGTGTGCGTGCGGTTTAGTGGGTGTGTTGTGAGCATGTGCAAGTGCAAGTGCAAGTGCTCGAAATGTAAAAAGAATATAGGGACGGTTGTTGAGGAGGAGAGAGGCTGCTCCAAAGAGAGAAAAGCTACGCCTGTGTGAGGACCAAAGTATGATTAATGATAAATCTTAAGGATATTGATGTAAATCTTAAGGATATCAGATGCTTTTAACATTATATATGAGTAATAGTCCCTCGCAAGAGGAAAGACGTCTAAAACGAAGATATAAATTAATAAAAAGTATAATAATTTATCTAACATTAAAGCTAAAAAGATGAATTCGTAATTTATAAAAATACAATGACGGTTAAAATTAGTCTAATTTTTATCTTTTTTGATTTAATAATATAAAATTTATTTTAATTTTTTTTATCGCTTAAAAATATCATTTTCTCTCAATATTACACAATTCAATCAACAAATCCCTAATTACTAATTTACACCCTACTCTCTCTTGTTTTTTTTTTTACTTTAATTTTAACTTATATTATTCGAAAATATAAAAAAATATTGTATTAATAAATATTATAGAGTGTCAATAAACACAAAGCTATTGCTAGTATTTTCAATAATGCAAAAAAAAAAAAAAGTATACTATATAATAAAACACACAGTCTTACATTTAACCTTTTAATCGTTGGAAGATATAAGCAACCCACCCAAATTTGAATTTTCACACCAAATCCATTTCAAACACAAATCTTAAGCCAATACCCATACCCGAGTTTTGAATCAAGTAACTCCAACAATCCTTCCTTTCTCCGCCACCACTGCCGCCTTCCTCCTCCTTCCCACCTTTGTTTATTCGAACTCTATCAATCATCACAGCCAGCCCCCATCCCCACACCTAATCCCCTGCGTTCCATCACATTCCCAGTCTTCTCGGACCTGGAATCAAAACCCTACCTACGGTTGAACCAAAACCCCCAATTGGAAACACTATTATCACCTCAGACAAACAAGCCCAAACCAGCACAAGCAACATCGTTGCATGAGAGAGGGAGAGGGCATAACCAACAATCTGTGGCTTCGGTTGTGGAGATGGCCAACCGATGACAGCGATAGTACTCCTTGACTTTGCAAATTACTCACTTATGAACTTCACCCCCAATTGCTTCACCATGGTATAGCATCACACCAGGTGGGTTTTTGGGAGTTCAATTGATTTACACCAACAAGCCCAATAGAATCAGGTGGGGTTTTGGAACTTTTATTTGCACCAAAAAGCCCGAATCCTCGTAGAATATCCTACCGAGAGAGAGAGAGTAGCGGTGGCGCTGGGTCGCGTGGGTGTGTGGTGGTTGTTTTGGGTGAGGGATGTCGGGTGTATGCTTTGCAGTTGAGCATTTTGGGGTTTGCTGCAAAGGTGTATGGTGGTTTTGGGATTGTTAATGTAGGGGAGAGGGCAGCAATCGGTGGGGTTTAGACAGAGGCTTATGTTGGTGCGTAAGTGGGGAGGAGAGTGTAATTACTACAACAAATTGATTTATTTTTGGGGTTAAAAGATTTTTAAATGAAAATAATAGTGTAATTTGAAAATTTCTATAATATAAAATACGACAGATTTTAATAAATTTATTTGACGGTCCCAAATAAACTCTTTCGATAATTTAGATTTATCAAACGATCACCAACATCTTTCTCAAATTTTTTCATTAAATCAATCATTTCTCACTTGCGTTACATCGTGCCTTCGGATATAAATTACTACTAATTTTGTATAAAAGATATACCGAAGTTCTCAAATTTTAGAGGGTTGTTTAACGGAGCATCACAACAAAGATATTATATGTTATGTGCGTACAAATTTAAAGATTCTTTGTATAATTTATTAAATATGAAGAGAATTATTTGATTAAGCAACAAAGTTTAGGAGGTTTAAATGTGATTTATCTAGAAATAATATGTGACAGTGAGAGGGCCGCGAGTAAAAGTTTCCCAAAAGAAATAGAGTTGGATGCTGGAACGACTTCTTTCTAGCTGTTTACTATTACTTCACGACAAAAGAAAACCTTAATCCCACTTAAACAACGAAAGAGAAACCTTAATCCCATAAATAATCAAAAAAACCCTCTCTCTCTCTCTCTCCTTCTCAAAAACCGCACAAAAACCTTCAATTCTCAAGTTCTTCCATGGACTTCTTCAAAACTGTCTTCTCAGACGAACTTCAACAATCCGATTCCCCTGCTTCGCCTTCTAATTCTCACTCCGATGACTCAGAACCCTCATCACCATCCTCGAACCCTAACCCTAGCCCCAGACTTTCAAGCATCACTGATGCCTGGACTTTTGGATCCACCTTGTTCAAATCTCTGGCTTCAAAGTCCGAGTCCGTAATCGAAGCTTGCCGTCGCGATCTTGGAGAATTCAGCTCCGGACTTAAAAACGAGACCCAAACAGTTCGCGAAGCCGCCAGCCGAACCGTCAAGGACCTTCCGGCTCGGCTGGAGATTGGTGCTGCCGTGGCTCAGGATTCGCTTGAGTCCGTCGGCCAAGCTGTTGACAATATAGGTTCCACCGTCTCACGAATCATTGTTCTAGGTAAAAGTTCAATTCTTAAAAACGATTCCGATACTGAATCAGATGGTTCTGATAAAAATAATAGCCTGGGAAAAAGATCAAATTCAAGGCCACATAGTAGATTAAATGGTTTGATTCATTCGATTCAATGTGATGTGAGAACTTATTGCGAGGAAGTGGAGGATTTGGAGGACTATAATGAGTGGAAATTGGGTTTTAGATTGGATGAAAAAAGTGGGGAAATTGATAATTTGGTGGAAGAAAATGCCATGATTGCAGATATTTATAATGGGGTTGTGCCAAGTCAGGTTGATAGGGAAACCTTTTGGAGAAGGTATTTTTATAGGGTTTACAAGGTAAAGAAAGTGGAGGAGGCAAGAGCTAAGCTTGTGAAGAGAGCGCTTTCTGGGCAAGAAGAGGAAGAGTTGAGTTGGGATGTTGATGATGATGAGGATGATGAAGAGAGTGGTGGATTTAAGTTAACCAGTGTTTCACAAAGAGGGATTGAAGAGAAGAGTTTGTTGGAAAAGAATGTTGGGAAGTCCACGGGTGACAATGAAGGGAAGGGTTTGGAAAGAGAAATTGATGATAAAGGGGGTGTTTTTGAATCGACAAGTATTAGTACTGTTGATGAGAAAGAGATGCCAGAAGCGAAATCGAACAAACTTTATTTGAGTGGTGATAAGTTGGGGGTGAACTCTGATGAGAAAGTGAGTAAGGAAGGGAAGAATTATAATAGTGATTTTTCAGTTATTTCAAGCCAACCATCATCGCATGAGGAAGGAGATCTATGGTGGGATGAAATTGATGATATTGGGAGTGGTGATGAGGTCAAGGTGGTCACAGCTGCACTTGGGAGCCCAAATAGAGCTGATTTGAGACAGCGGTTGAGTGCTGCCAATGAAGAGGAAGATCTGACTTGGGATATTGAGGATTATGATGAGCCTGTTAAGCATTGATCATGACTACATTCTCTCAAGATGATACATTATCATTTAATTTATCAGCAACTCTCTCTGAGGGGGCATATATTATGTAGTAAGAATTTATAGCATGATGATGATGATGTTCATTTATCATGTTTATAGTGTTGATATTGTCTCTGATTTTTTTAGATTAGTACAACCCATCATATAAACGCTTGGATTTCAATTCTATTTTTTTCTTTATAGTAGAAATTTGTGTTGAATATTTGCCTCTCTCAACAAACTCATTTGAGTCTCTCATCTGTGCAAAATGTTGATGATATTTCTAGACAGACTTTAGAGCAATATAGTTTTCTCCAATGAGAAATGGAGTGTTTTTTGTGTTGATTCTGTTGAATATTGCCTCTCTCTACGAACTCATTTGTCTCTCTCCTATCTGCAAACAATGTCATGGCTCATGGGTCTGTGTTTAAGCCAAGTTTTTTTTCCTCGTTTCTTTGTTGTTGTGGTAGAATCTTCAGGTCTAGCAGTATCTTCCACTTGTTTGCTTGAGAAACACTTTTTTTTCTTGTTATTGTCTACCATATTGTTGCTTCCTTTTCTTCATCCTAATATTTACATATATTGGATATTGTTTTACCTCATCATTTTCAAAAATCCTATTACACATGTCTCCATATTTCACCCTCAGCCAAAACAACTGAGTGGTCTTTTTTGCTGTGCTAATAATGTGTACCACCAAGGGGTTGTGATTTGAAGTAGGTAACGTTCTCGATAGGAGGTTTCTTTTATATTTGACGCAGTTCTTCTTCCCTTCCAAATCTGTTATTTGTAGGTGCTTGCGCTCTCTGATCGTTTCAGACTCTAAATCTTTCACAGAACAATGGTAGTGTATGCCATGCTTCCTTTAGGAGATGAAGCAGTTCTTCCCTCCACAATCTGTTGTTTTTAGGTGCTACCTGCCCTTTCTGATGTTTCAGACTATCATCCTTTATAGGGTTAATAACATGGTTCCTAAAGTATTCATTTTTTGTTGGTTGTTGTATCAATTTTGTCAATTTAGTGTTTAAAATATTCAATTCGTTTTATTTTGATCCCTACATAGATGGATTTTTTAAATTTTTGACGGAATGATTACGTGTTGGGTATACAATTTTGTCTAGAAAATGGACACATGATTACTTCCTAAAAAAACTTGACGGATTGTTTGATTAGGGACAAAAATAACATGAATTGAATATTTTATGAACTAAATTAACAAAATTGATACAATGAGAATTAAACCGACCAAAAACCTATACTTTAAGTACCAAAAATGCTATTAACCTTTCTTTATAACACATCTTCTAGCAATAAATCGACCGATTTAATAACTATTATTTTCTATATTTCTCCCTTTCTCAGTTTGTTTATTGTTTGATGGTAAGATGGCTCAATCAGTACAAGATTATGTTGCTTCTCCACCCATCAGTTAGAATTAGGTTGCCTTGTATATAGGGTTATCAACGGATCAGGTTTAGATCATATTTTACTTGATTTGAATTCGAATTCAACTTTTAAGAATTTGATTTGATAATCCGATGAGTTTAATTTTTGTGGTCCATATTCGAACCTGTTAACATTCTGAAATTCGATCCGAATAACTTAATCTAATTAAATTTTAACTAAATTATTCAAATAATCACTTAAGTTCTTAATATTTATACAAAAAAAATTTAAATATTTTAGATTGGATCATAATTAGATCAGATATAAATATATCTTAATCTAAATTTGTGAATTATAAGTTATCAAATTTGAATTATCAATCTATTAGTCATTACCCGTGCCTAAAGGCTCTATGTTACTTATAAAATGTGAGACCCAATCACGCATTGCATGCATATTAATATAATTTTATGAGTTAAATTATAATTATGTAAAATTATTAAAAAGGTAATGAGCATAAATTGGGTAGGTGAACCCCGTTAGTGAGGTATTAGTGAGACCCATTTATAAAAATTTTATGTGTGAAAATATTAGCGGGTCGATTTCAAAATCATTTAGAAACTTGGGGAGAGACAAGTATAATTTACCCATTATCTTTACGTGTGTTGGCTTAAAACAAAAAGAGAAAAAGAAGGGTGTGCCGTGTGTGTGTGTGTGTGTTTTTAAGTTATATAAAAAAAAAAAAGTGTGTGTGTTCTGGTTTTGGGCTGAAGTCGAGAGAGACAAAAAAAAAAAAAAAAAAAAGAAAGAAAGAGAGAAGAAGACATCAAGGAAAAAAAAATATGTGGGGGTGTCCATTTGAATCGTGAGCAAGGAAGGTATATGAATTTAAATTTTGAGTTGTGATTAATTTTAGTATGTAGGTATTTGTATATGTGTAGACTGTTTTAACATGTTTTAATTAGTAGGTTGTTTTAATTTAAATACATGAGCTGTCTTATTTTATTTTAATGGGTTGTTTTAATTTAAATTTCATGGACTATTTTAGTTAATTTTAATGGGCTGTTTAGTGTAATTTTAAAACATATTTTTTAGAGTTTAATTAAGTGTATTTAGTAAACTTAAAGGGCTGTTAAATAATGCTTGTAAATGGGTGTTCAACCCAGGTATGAGAAAGAAGAAAAAAATGTAAAAAATGAATATCGGGAAACACTTAGCGAGTTAGGCTGAAAATGAAAATTATAGGAATGAAATGAGTGGTTTAAAGGCTCAATTAGGGGCTATTTTGCATTGCTTAAAAGTGTATGTGAATTTAAGTGTAGCAGTTTTAAATAAAAAGTGTGATAGAAGTGAAAAACGGGTGCTGGTAATACCAAAACTCTAATTTCTAAATGTTACTATCACATGTGTAAATGTTAATCTAAATGATCTGAAATTTTGCATGCAGCACTTTTAAATGATGCTTGATGTGATAATTTGACTTTTAAATGCAAATGAGTATAATATCTGGTATGAAATGTATGAAATGTCGGAAGTGCAGTTTTTACGATTTGGGGTCGAAATGTGTGAAAATGGGCCCCCAGCCAATGTGTTTGACCTACTTAATCCTAATTGTGATTAATGTGAGTGATTTTGAGAATTTGGGGAGGAAATGTGATCCCTAAAACAAAAGTATTAATGTGTGAATAGATAGTGCGGTAACCAGAGTTATCGGGCCACTTTGGGGTGCATCATTTTGCATACATTAGTGCATGATTAATTATTAAATGTAATAAACATATTGATATTGTAATGACAAATGTGTTAGGTGGAACGGGTGAAACAGTCGGTATTGGAACAAATACGGTGACACCAAAAGGATCCACCGATAGGACCGAATGGCCATAAATTTATACGTCTGAGGTGTGTGTATATCTTTATATATTTTAAAAATGCTATTATAAGATGATATTAAATAATAGAATTTAATAGCAATTCTCTATGATTATGTGCTACGTGTTTATGTGATTGAATGATGTTTTGTACTGTGTATTGTGTATTATGGAATGTGACGCTCCTTTTGAGACAAGGTCGTCGATGCTTGATCACTGGGCGTGCAGTGATGTGCTAGCACTGTGGTGTTCCCGGGAGGTTCGAGAAACACGGATCCATGTGGGATCGATTACCCGATGAGGGGTAGTGTGGATGTGATGTAACTTGTGAATTCTTTGGAATTGAATTGATGTTGCTGTTTGATACGTGTATCTACGTAGTATCTATCTACTTCAATGTATTGCTATTATTTCCATTTCATATACAGCATGTATAGTCACTGAGCGCGTAATTTAGCTCACACCCCTATAACTTTTACTTTTCAGGTACTTTAAAGGAGGATACAGACTGGTTCACTGTCTAGTTGATTGAGTCTTGTACAACGTTAGTGTGATACCACTCAGGTTGAGTGTCGGTATGACTAACCGTTGGGCTGTGTATTATATTTATGAGGGATATTTATGACAGGTTAATAGTATATATTTGTAAATAGATTCCGCAAGTATACTTTGTGATGTTTGCTATGTGGGTGTGAGATTTTGTATATGTCTATAACCTGGAAAATAAATGATTGGTACAGGTGTTTATATATAGTACAAGTTATCAGACAAGTTTTACCATCATACTTAATAACTAAGGTGATGAGTGTTGTTGTTGCACCTATGGGATTATATTATATTTGATTAGTCCAGCTTTTCATAATTGTTCACAGGTGTATGAAATACCTAGTCGCATCTCATCCTTGGGAGACCGGGATGGGGCGTGACATAAAATTTCAACACACAAAAATAGGATGTTTGAATAATTTCAACACATAACGATTAGATTGATTTTGAACATTTTTTGTTGGTGCAATTGATATCTTTTTTTTTTATTGGTCACTTATTTTTTTTAAATTGCTGATTAACTTGGGCTTTGATTTTTTTTTTTAATTTTCTGAGAACTATAAGTTTTCATACAGTAGTGATTAATTTTTGATATGAATAATAACTTGATGATTTTATTTATAGATTATAAAGACAATTTAAACTTCATTGATTGATAAGAAGTAATAAGTAAACATCAACCATCAGTATTAAGATGCGTGATAAGAAGATCTACTTACAGTATACTCTAGGTATGAATCAGTTTGTAATAAGAATGACAAAAAATTAAATAGTAAGTATATAATGGTTTTTAATGAAATATTATACCAAAGGTTTTGAAAAAATTGATATACTAAATAACTTACATGTCCAAAAATGGTGACATTGTCTATTTAGGTACTGGTTTTTGTGTTGTAGTGACAGTGTGTATGCGGTTATTGAGGTCAAATATTAAATTGTCAAACTTTGAAAAAGAAGTACTAAACTTAGAGATATTATATATTTTATGTGTGTTTAATAGAAATATTTTTAATTTTATGCAAAATTTTATCGTAAAATTAGAAATTAAACAAAACCAACCTAAATCAAGGTACAAACAATACACTTTTAACATGTAACATTTAACAACAATCAGTTAATGACAATACATCCATAACTAAACCAGACGAACATTAAAAATTAAAAACGATAAACTATTGTCAAAACATA